ATCCCGGTATTTACTGGGTTCGTTTCGTCATGTATGTGATGCTTTCTTTCATGATTGGCACTATGTATATCCGTTCGAACGATTCTCTGACTCAGTTTGACTACATCCCGATGCTCTTCTACGTTCAAGCATTCTTGGTATTCATGGCAGTCGCTGTCTTACCATTCTTCGATGAGATCAGAGCTGTCTTTGCACGAGAGAGAGCTAATTCTAACCTCAATGTGCTCATGTTCGTTCTGGCCAACTTTCTGGCAGCTTTGCCGGGTATAGCACTGATCGCCCTCGTGTCCTCTGCGATGGTGGTTGGTATCGCTGGTCTCAACGCGTTCGGATGGTTCTTTCTCAATCTCTTCCTCTCTATGGTCGTGTCTGAGTCGCTTATGATGCTCCTGGGCGCAGCTACTCCCCACTATATAATCGGCATCGCCCTTGGGGCCGGTCTGTATGGTATGTTCATGCTGGTTTGTGGGTTTATGGTCCCTCGTGATAAGATCCCCGCGGGGTGGATCTGGGTTCACTACATCGCCTTTCACACTTATGCGTTTGGGGCGTTCATGTACGCTGAGTTCCACGATGAGCCGCCGGCTGGGGATATTATTCTGCGCCAGTTTGATTTGGAAGATACGGATATTGGCGTGAACATGGGCGTGTTAGTGGCTTGGACGCTGGTCTTACAAGTGTTATTCTATCTGGCGCTTAGGATTCTCCATACGGGTAGAAGGTAGACCTACTTCTTATCTTGGTAGGGTTAACCTTGGAATTCTAGACCGTCTTTTTTTCGGTCTCCGAAGAGCTATCCGGTCTCCGAAAAAAATTAAGTCATTTCTTCCGTTGTTTTTTTCTTATTTCTTATGTGTCGTATTTGCTCATCCCAGTAGACTTTTTTTCGATAGTTTTCATTATTATGAGTAATCGAGTTGATCCAATGTTATAAGTATACGAGTAATATTCACCCGTTTCCATTCGTGTTTTGTGTTAAAGTCAACCCCACCTTGCCGTAGATGAGCTTTTCCAAAGCCGAGGCGGTTATTTCCGACTCCTCCAGCAGCAGTGATTCGGAGGCCTCGAGTGAAGAGGACGAGGAGGAGGTGCCGATTGTTGA